TTTGAAATTGAATTCATATAGATAATATTTACATAAACACCGAAGATAGTAAGGACTTCATATTTAGAGCTATACTTCATGGATCAATAAGTTTCTCGGTAGATAGTGCCAGTGATGCACATGTTGTCTTGGCAACTAAAAATAAAGAATCTGAACCTATGGTAGAGGTATTACTTGGTGGCTGGAAGAATACAGCATCTGCCATTCGTTACAACAAACAAACACCAGATAAGGTTTAAAATTATATTATACTGTGCTTTTCACTTAACTCTCTGATGCTCTTGCTTGATTTGACATTTTTAACGATACAAATTCTTACACTAAATTAATTTTACTTAGGTACTGTTTTAATAATAATATTAATAATAAGTTTAACACATCTTCAAATTCTGATTCTGATTAACTCTTATTAACTTATTGTGACACTGGTGTTTCATGTATTATTTTGATTATAGACGAAATGTAATAAATATATAAAATGATTGATGTGTTTAAAGGTGCACGTTGACACTCCTCAGCTTCTGTGTAAAGACACTCCAAAGAAATTTGTCATTTTTTGGAGAGATGGTGTTTATGAAGTGTTTAGTGAGAAAGCTAAATTATTTGAATGGACAGATTCAAGCCCATTTCTCATTTCTCATTATGGAGTTCGTACTTGTTGGGGGGCTGTTGGTAATTGGCACATTCATGGTGCAGCAGATGATCAATTTAAAAGCAAAATAGTTGCTACCCCAAAACCAAAACCTGTAAAAGGAAAAGGTTAGGAATGCCCCTGTGTGTATTTTTATTGTGATTTGTACATTTTAAATTATATTTATAATATAATTATATGTCTGTGTATAATATGTGTAATATGTTTTTAAACGTTAGTTTAATCAAATTTAATTTTAAACATTAAACTTAATTGTTTTAGCTCCACCTGCAGCTTCACCTGGCTGGAACCTTGATGGACCATCCTCTGGTCCAGTTCATTGGGTTCATGCCAGTAACGGTCAAATACCACCAAATGCTTTACCTGGTGGTTTTGATGCTACCAATGAACAGCTATATGTAGCCAGAGCAGAACATAATGGTGCTCTGATTCCTGGTAAACTTGTTCCTTCGCATGGTGTTGTCTATATACCCTGGGGTGGTGTTGAGAATCCCAAAGAAAACTATGAAGTTAGAAGACATTATTTGTTTTCAATCAACATATTTTTTAGACATTTTCTAACATTTTATATGATTTAGGTACTTTGCAACTGTAATGGTACTTGGGTGAAAGCCAACAATGGAGAAATCCCAGTAGGAGCATTATCTTCAGGTCATACAGAAGATGGTGAACCATTGTTTGTTGGACGTGGTGAACATAATGGTTCTTTAACTGTTGGAAAGGTAAATACAAAATATTAAAGACAGGTCACATTTAGTTGATTCATTCATACATATTATGAGAGATTGTTTTGATAAACAGGTTTTGGATGTTATTGCAGTATAAAATATGTTCAACTAATTACACTGTTTGCATTATTACACTAAATAGGTATAACAAAACTGTACTGATAAATTTCATTCGACTATTTATTTCAAATCTTCTTTGATTTTTACAAAAAAAAAAATTGATAAACTCAAATCTAATGCAATACATTTTAACCTATCTTATCATTGTTACTATCAGAGTTAATTGGATTTCTTTTTGTCCTAATCTTAGGGCAGGTCCTATGGTTGTTATTTACTGTAACATTAAATCATTTGCAATGGTAATACATTATAATGCTTTGGAAAAAGTTTTCACATAAATGTTAAAATACATTAAATCTAGAAAATTTGTTCAACTACAAATGCATTGTAAACGTGCAAAATTGAAATAATATGTCAGTAATTGCATTACATTTTTATATTTAACTAGACAATGCCATTAAAGATATAAATAATATACAAAGTTAGCAAACAAATATAAACAGCAAAAAAATGCAACAACATCCGTTTATATTTTGTTGTTATATTTACAAAAAAAAAAAAAATTATTTTCAACTTTTTAGTGATTATGTTTGTATACACTTTTTCATGATACATATATATATATTGGTTATTCAAAAATAAAATTAACAAAATTGGTAAGTTAAATATTATATTATTTTTTCATTTCTGTGAACTAAATTCTAAAGTGTTAGTGCGTGTTACTTAATTAGTGATTTTGTTACTATATATATATATATATCAAAACATGGCACAGTAGGTATATAAATACTATTTTATTATTTTAATAAGTATAATAATTTGTATAATAGTTAATACAATAGTTTGTCAATGATCTGGATTAATTGTGTGTATAACTAAATATAAATTTCAGTCAAATATTCATAAAATAAAATCAATGTTTATCAATCGAATAATGAATTTTAAGTTAAATTAAAAATATTAATATCTCGAATTATTGGCATTCTGTTGTAAAAATGTTATTCCTTAATAATACCTTTGATTAAAAGTAATTTCTAAGATATTACCTAACGGTCATTCTAACAAAGTATCTACATATTGTTTATTACTAATAATAATATAAAAAATAATGTTATTATCGTATAAACATATGGGTGGAAAATATACTTAATTACTTGTTTTTTATATGTGAAAATATCAGTTCTTAACTATCCAATTTAATATATTAAGTAGTTACCTTATATTTTTTAAGAAAATTTCAATTTCATAACATGTAGGAAACAGATTTCAAATTAATTATTTAAATGTACAACTATTAAAATTATTTAAAAATTACAAATACATATTATTACATATTTTCCCAAGCAAAATTTTCTTAGAAATATCATAGGGGGCTTAAAATTAAAATAGATTTTTGTGATGGTAGCTCACTTTTGACATTGATACATAAAATCTTTATTTGGAAATATTTGTAGATACGAAACGTTTGCCTTTGTATTCTAGGTATTTTATAAATTAAATAATGCCAATAGATCAAAACTTATATAGTCATGACTCGATAAAACTGTGGAAAACTGTTCATACTTACTTAAATTAAAATGTCCGATCGCTTATTATGTTAACGATAGTCATAGTTTTAAAATAATAAACAGTTTGAAGTCTGGTGTAGATTAAATCTTATATTTTTATCAGGACAAATGTTTTATAAATATTACCTATTGAGAATTTACCCATTATCATATTTTTGTATAGTATTATATGTATATTATTTAATGTATTGATCAATTTACATTTATAATATAGATTTATCAGTAAATACTATCGATTTATTTAAGAAAAAATGAAACACACCTAGTCCTCAATTGCTGACTTATCACTTAACTGTACCTCAATTATCTCAGATATAAATAAAAATCTATTTCCTATAGAAATATATATACTTTGTCAGTCATATACTTTGATTTTAATTTTTAACTATTTAATATTTAATTATTCAACATATAATAAATGCTAAATTATGATTTTAGGTGTAACTTAGTATATTTTCCACTATATGTATAATATATGCGCTTTATTAATCATCCATAAACTATATAATACTATGTGTGTGTAACTAAATTGTTTATAATATTTCTAGGAGAATCAGAAAAATATTAAATCACATAAAACAAATAAAATAATGGCTCAGAATCCTTTATATGCTCGCTCTGAGGAAAATTCTTACATAGATACACTGATAATGAAATTATTGAAGAGTTCGATGGAGAAAGAAAACGATGATCATGATGTTTTTGGAGCTTATGTAGCTATGGAAATGAGAAACTTGAAAACGTCTGATGCGCAACAAAAATTAAGAGGAGAAATAAGAGATTCTATATCTCGAATTGTTTGTGATGAATCTATGAACACAACTAATAATACAAAAACTTCAAATTTAGAATTAAAAATAATAGACGATGATTTAAAGAGAGAAGATAACATTTTAAAAACCAATCTCAGCTCTTCTTCAGAAAACCATCTTGATGTGGAACCTGTTTCTCAAGAAAAAACAAAGAACAGTTGGGAACTTATTAATTAATTATTATTTCTTGTTTAATATTACATAAAAATTAGCTTCATATATTTTTAATAGGAATACATTTAAATATCATTACAAAATATATTTATTTTAATCTAAAGAATCATATTTTTTCATTACTTATTTTCTTTAAATTATATCAATAATTATTGGAATCATACCTACTCAAGCTTAATTAAATCGTCATTACTTAATCTATTCCCGCAGATATAAAAAAATAAGTGTACTATAACACACTGTATACATTTCATTAGCTTGTAATACCCAATAGGTATACATCACATTTTAAGATAATATCTAATCTTTAATCATGATATATATTATAACTGAAAGAACTTTATGTCTGTATTCATATTTTAGTTACATTTGTAGATAAATTAAATTATCTATATGAATGAGTAATAAAGTTTTTATTATATTGTAGATGTTATGCTACAACAAAATGTATTTATTTATTGGGAGGAAAATCGTTAACTTATTAGTAAATAGTTCATAATGTTTTTTAACTTTAAAATATACTTTTGCAATATTCTATTGAATAAATGAATTTAATATAGTTTCAACTATGTGTTTAGAAAAACTACTCGATGTATTGCTAAATTAACATGGCAGATAATCCTGTGCATAACCAATGTTAGTTGAGGATTATCCATGACAATATGCAGTACATCAGTTTCCATGATACCCGCTCTTATTTCTATTTTAGTTCTGTTTTTAATAGGATAAAAATATTGTTGAACATTTAAAATTACATTTTATAATAAGACATAATATTATATATTTAAAAAAAAAACATACCTACTGTCACTAAAATGAATTTATAAATTTTAATATGATTTGGTTATTGTTACAGGTTCAACCTAGTCACAGTGTTTGTTATGTACCATATGGCGGTGAGGAAATACCTCTGAATGATTACGAAGTGTTGGTGGTAGTTTAAAGCTATCAAAATTAACCAAAGATGAAAGAAGTATTAAACAATTTAAAAATGGCATGTTGAATTTATCGGAACTTTTAAGAATTTTTTTAACGCTTTATTTATACTTACATTATTTATAATATTTTGAAAACATTATAAATCCATCACGGCATTAACATTATGTCTTAATTTTTTACATTTTATACAATCATTGAATAGAATATATAGAGCATATATATTATTTTAATAGCAAACCAGTGACAACCAATATATATCCACAAAATAAATTGAATTTAATCTTAACCTGGATCTGGAGACCCCTCCATTCTTGGATTGTATTAAGTAATTTATGTCGTAGGACTTTTAAACTTAAAACCACTGAAAAAAATGATAGTACCTATACCTACTTTTTTCAATATAATCCTGATATATGTCCTACTTATTTACTAAAATGACTTCAATTATATTTAATATTCATATCATGTCAAGTAATTTGTTTAAAAACTGTTGTAGATAATAAGAATTAATAATAATATGTATATGTTTAGAACATAGGTGTATTTTTATTATAATTTGTCATGACAGAAATAATGATATTTTGGGTAAGTGTTGCTGTACAAAAGTTTTGTAGCAAATGGTAGACAAATAAATATAATAAAAGGTGGGCAAGTAAGTACCATTCTGATATACATTAGGCGTTGTGTGAGACATGAGTCACTGTAATGGATGTGTTAAATTTGAATTCAATGTTATAAAAATCATTGTATACAATAAACGTTTCTGATCAAAGTTCTTTTATCAACCTATATTAGTAATTAGTATGTTTTATGATATTATTGAAATTTTTTTTTTTGTTCATAAGTTTTTTATTCTATGTTACAAAAAAAAAAAACTTGTGTTACCCGGTGTCTCCGGCGCGCCACGGCGTAAAGTATAGGCAAAATAGGTACATTTAACCTGTGAGTGGGGAAAATAAGGTAGCATTTAGATTGTTTGGGCTCGCGTCACTCAGTTAGTAGCTGGTTCGTTCCAATCACGAATTAAGATATCTTAAATCGTGGTTCCAATGAATATTTATTTAAAGTTTAAGCCCCAGATAATATAAAAACAAACTTATGTGTAAGCATCGACTTCTGGAGATACCTAGCCGTACCATTCTTAAAGTGCCAACGCTTAATCTAGCTTAACGACTTATTTAACATTTGATACCTTATTTATTTTTGATCATTGAAATAATTACAATTGTTAATCATCTATGACGAATGGTGATAATTAGCGATTGCCATAGATGATTCATATCATTCTGTAAGTCTTTAGACTTTATATTTAGCATAAGGTCTATCGTCTATTGATAAATCATATTCCAGATATTCGTTTGATAATAATAGCTAACTCCCTCCTGTACCAAAATAATTTTTTTTTTCATCGAATCTTTATTCTCATCGTTTGATGTATACATTGTGTGATAGCATGTGCCATTCATTAGGAGAGCTAATAATTATGGAAGGGATTATCAATTATAACCGTTTATTAGAGATGGACGATGGTCACACAAAAATGAGTGACCGGTTCGTCACCAAATTGATCGGTTTGGTATAACTAATTTCTGTATTATGTTATTTTATAAAAATCTTTGTTATCTGATATCATCTGATTTTCCATAGATTTCATTTTAGCGAGGGGTATCAATTCCAGTTTTGTTATTTTATCTACCAACACAGATAAATACTATTTACTATGCATAATACTTATATATTTTATATATAATTAGTATATATATGTGTCTACCAACTGCTTCCAGGCTTCATTAGATCAAGTGTAATTGAATAAAAAATATTATTCAAGATGGTTGCTGCCCCATGATTTTACTCCTAAAGACACACCGGGTATTTTCTATTTCAGATGTTTACATACAACTCTTATTCTTCTTCATTTATTCCCGAGTGTAAATCATTGAAGTCTATAAATAGCACAAAAATAACCAACATTATTTTAAACATTGGTATAAACAATATGTCCATAAAATAGGTACCTATTAGGTAGCATAGGTAATTTTATAATACTATATTAATAATACCTACATTATAATAATAGTAATAATAAATAATACATTTTTTTCAGTCTATGTATTTTAATTTTTACCTCTCTTCTCCTTCTCCCTCTACTGTAGCTAAGTTCGCAGACGACAAGGCAATTATGGCAATACTCGGAAGACCGAATTTCTTCTCGCCTAAACCTTCAATATCACCTTAATTTAATGTAAAACTGGTATTATAATTTATAAATGCCGAGTTCAGGAAAATTAATCAAAATTGCTACACACTTCCTGTACCTACTCTCCACCTTGCCACATATCCTGCGCATGACGTTTTCTTCGCTGACATCCCTATTATTTTTTCCCAATCGGTTAAGTATCTAGGGTTACTCTTACTCCGGTTGCTAAAAACATTATTAACTAATAAACATACCAAATTAAATATCAAATCCGTAATTAAACCAATGTGAACATATCACATATGACCTCCAACTCTTGGGAAATGCTAAAAAATCCAATCTCAACAAAATGTAAACAAAATCCTACGATCTATCACCAACACCCCTCCTTATATATTTCAAATTTTATTCTCCACTCTGACTTAAAAATAAAAACTATTTACGATGAAGCTAAAACGTAATATAAATGTGTTTTCAAAAAACATGCTTTTCATCCCAACTCTCTTACATCCGATCTAGGCATCTAGCCACTCACATAATTCCTGGAATCCCACCACGGCATCTAAAAAGAAATTGGTAAAGAGATCTTCTGAACGATAATAAATAATATAACCAATGATAACAACGGAAAAAATATATATTGATACCTATATAATCAAAAGGAAGTTCGATCACTGGATGGTTTCTTCCTTCACCCTTTTTCATGTATTAATAAATTGCTTATATAGCACATATTCTTATTATATTGTATATTTCTTATATAAAAACTAGTTGCCCGACCTTCCTCCGGAAGAAATTATTTTTTTATAATTTAATTTAAAATCATAAGACTATTTTTTGGTTACACAAATAATACAATGATTATAAAATAAAAAAAAAATTTAAAAAAAGAAACAGACATCGTTATCGGTGAATATAATATGAAAATAATTGGTAATTAGTTAATTATTATTATTATAATGAGGTTTCAAAACCGGTTTCCTTCGTCTCCAAAATCAAGTTAGATTCTTATATATATAGATTAATATTTTAACTTTATAATTATAACTTGATAGTTACAATATAATATTTACACTACATTTATTTACATTTTTTTAACTCATGCATTTTGTACATGGGCAACACAACTTCACATTTTGAACATCGTTTTTGGATTATCATATTTTCTAAGTAATTTTTGATCTATTAACTTGTATTCTAAACAAACAATTGGCTTAGTGTACAATATTTGATCTGCAGGTTTAGTTTTATTTGTTCTTTCTTTCTAAATACCACGATACAATCAAACTTGTTATGATTAAATTAAAGTAATACATTAATTACTCTTTATGAAACCAAAAGAAACCAAAAGACGAAGTATTTTATTTTAATATAATTCATTATGTTATCATAGTGTTAAGAAAATAGAAGGAAAAAATAAGTACAATTATTAAAAAAAAAATGTAGTAAATTAATTTTTTTATATTTTTCATTATACCTTGCTCTAATTTTGCCAATTTTGAGTTTATAATACAAGTTGATCTATCAAAATTACCTGAAAGAAAAACGATCAAACCTAAAATTGTATTCAAAATAGGAGTTGCCATGAAAAAAAATTTGAAGTTGTGTTGTGCAATGTGCATGCTCAAAATACATGAGTTAAAAAAATTGTAAGTCGTAGAAATATATGATCCATTATTCTATTTGAATGTCCCGCAAACACAATTGAAAATTATTTACAGGGTAATGAGTGATAAAATGTACTCTATTTCTGCGGACACACGGTGTATACAAACTATAGTCATGACTAAAAGTAGGTACATAATAATACATAGGTATACTTTGTGTCATGACGACGGCCTCGTAACCTAACCTAAGTAGTCATGACCATAGTTATACCTGGTTATATCATAAATCGTATTATATATAACAGTGATAGGTTCCTAAATACTAAATAGCATTAACGGATTGAATGATTTAGTTAAGAACGCATTAATTAAAATATATTTATAAAATATACGACGTATTTGGCATTTGTACATGTACGTAGATATGAATGTTTAATTGTACACTGTACAATTTTTAGTGGGCCGTGGACCATGGTTCAAAATAATTCATTTTGTTTTTCAAAATAACATAATAGGTAAGTAATACCTGACATGAACAATCCCTATATACCTACTACCACAGAACAACATCTTAATTATTGTGCACAAGCTTATAGTATTTTGGTTAAAGCACATACCTACCGTGTTTAAAGCAGCAATCAATGCGACCGCAGCGCTGCCTGTGGCTGTGGCTAATGGCTATTCAATGGCGTGAAACGTTTTTCCAAGTGGGCGGTCCTATGAGTTCGGTCTTGTCTTGGCCTCCTGGAGAACAGTAATCTACTAATCTACTATCTGTCTGTGCTATAATCTTCATACCAATCATTATTTACTGCACAATCTTTATTCGTTCAACTTTCGTTGATACACTACACTCCACAACAGTTCAAAGTAAAAAACTACAGTGTTTCAAGTTTTAATTAGCAGCTTGCAAGTAAGTAGTGACTACCACAGCTATAGATACCTAACATAATTATAGACCATAGGATATTCTGTATGATCACGATTATAAAGAAGTTCTTTAGAATCTTGAGTATATTGTATATTATAATATAGCCGCGGTAACTGGTAACTACATGTCTACATAGCACGGTTAAAGATGGTACAGTGATAGTAAACTGTATCATCTACAGTTTACTGTTGTAGTCTGTAATCGTGCTACAAATCTACAATCTTTTGTGATTCTTACTACCGAACGGAAATTGTTAATCCATAATTTTACAACTTATTTTTTTCTCCTCAAGACATGACGACTGCTGCCCGACCGACGTTTGAACCAGCCCGCGGTGGCCAGGGCCGTGGAGAAAATGATCTCAGTGCCTTGTCTGTACAATATTCCAGCAGGGATTTACCGTCACACACAAAATTAAAATACAGGTATTTTGCATTCATTGTTTGTAATAATCCAGTTACCATCTAATGCATGTTATCATTGTTTTGTGTAGGGAACCTGGACAGGGCACAACTGAAGAGCTTCAGAAGCAAGATTTTGCCAAAGTACTCGAAGAAAAAGAAAAAAATGTTGGGACTAAAGCAATAGGAGGTGAACCCCCGCTGTAAGTGCAATAATATAAGTAATATTTAAACTTAAATTAATAAAATTATTATTATTCAGGAAAAAAATACGTCCTGAACATGTTCCGATTGCAACATTGGATGTCGATGATCCTCTAGATTTAGATGCATCAGATGATGATGATAGTGAAGATGATGCTGAAGAATTAATGTTAGAATTACAAAAAATTAAAAAAGAAAGAATGGCTGAAGAAGCTCGTATGGTAACATATCTCAGTATATTATAATTTACTATATATTTTTTAAGTGTTTGATTAGTAAAAAGTAAAATCTTTGATATATAAATAGTGAGTCATTTAGTTATACCAATGTGTAAATGGTTAAATTATACTGTATCACTGTAGCAAATCGACTATTACATAATACTATTATGTCAGATTGTCACATGAAGTAGTAACGAAATCTTAAATTTAATTATTTTCACATAAATAATACAATTTAGAATAATTGTACATAATCAATATACTTATTATGTATATGTATGCATGAAAATGTTTACAAGTTATGAAATGTGTAATAGGTCCTGGTTTAAAATTGCATAGTGCAAGCTGATTTTTTTATCATGAACTAATGAACCATTCATTAATTCATAAATTATTAAAAAATTTTAAAAAAATGTGTATAATCTTAAATAGTAAAAAACAATGATTTGTATGTACGATAACCTATATTTTTAAATTTATATTCCAAAGCAGAATATTATTCAGGTTATTTTGAAACTAAACATTTGGGATATGTAGTCTATAACTTATAGATATTTTAAGTTTAGATGAGCAAAGTGTAGTGATTCTCCCGGTCCTTGCAAAATGTTGGTCCACTATTTCGCTCTTCTAACATACCTATACTTAACTCATAAACTATTTATTCAAAATTTGATTTTGCATATCAAGATACTATAATTTATTAACATTCCAATTTAAAATATTAAGAAAAAATGTGTGTTATTGTACAAAACAGTAAAATACTTATATTATTATAATATTATGTAAGTAAAAAAAATATTTTCAAAAACTAAAAGTTCTTAAAATAATGATTAGTTCATGATTGAAGAATCACCTGGTATGTCTCAAAAAACTTACTAAAACAAATAATTCTTAAATTTTTACATAATTGTGTTTCCTTTTTTTGGGAAGTTTCGAGTAAACAGAATTTGGTCTTCATAATACAATCCAAAAATCCGCTTGCATTTTCCTTGATTAAATTGTTGTTAAAAGCCATACAATTTGGTAAAAATAATAGTAATAAACATTATAATTTTTAAATGGGCTTAAACAAGTTAATATAGAGGCATAAATATATAATCAATAATATTTTGTTATTTTCTCAATTTAACAGGAAGCAGATAAACGTGAAGCTGAGGAACAAATCAGAATCCAAAATATTCTTCAAGGAAATCCGTTACTAAGCTATGGAGGAGGATCAGCAGTACCCAAAATTAACCAAAAAGTCAAGAGACGCTGGAATGATGATGTGGTATTTAAAAATTGTGCTCGCACAGAACCAGAAAAGAACACTACATTTATAAATGATTGCATACGCTCAGATTTTCATAGAAAATTTATGGATAAATATATAAAATAATTTTAACTATTTTTTCTAAATTGATAAAAAAAAAATTTAGGTTAATTATTATAACATGCAAATACATTTTTTGTTTAACTAAAATTATAATGTGTATAATTAATTATATATTTTGAGCCATTATTATTTTAATTATACTTTTATATAAGATTTTTTAGGGGAAAGTTTAATTATTTATTTGAATTTTTGAGAGTGATTGTAAATGATTTTATTCAATCAGTTTACTCCTAATATAAATTTAGCCCATATGTACCAAACATTATTAACTATCTTAAAGTTGTTAACATTTAATTTTTTGTATAAATTGTACTGCAATCTGTATATTTAAGGAGAAACTACATCTGTATGTGTTGTTTTCATCTTAGAAATGAACAACATATCCAATTTATGTAATACCTCTAATAATAGAGAGAATTGACCTATTTTCAAAGGTTAGGAAAGAATGTTATCTATGCTTTCATGTGTGCTTAAACAATATTTAATTTTTTAAACAAATAATGAGAATTTTGAATTTGTAATATTTTTCTTACTAATAAATTGCTTAAAAAATCTTATGAGAAAGCACAGATAATACCTAACTTTTAGTTTGATAATAGATCAATTTGCTCTTATTTTTAATGTTTACTAAAATTGGAATTGCTAAACATAAATTTTTTATGTTGTATGCTTGTAAGATGAACACAACACTTGGGGGTATTGTGTCTTTTTAAGTCACTTGTATTTATTTATAATTTATAGGCTACGCTCTATCAATACAAACTATTGTAGATACAAATTAGATTAAAATAATAAATGTTATACAAAAGTAGAGTAGTGAGTCTGATAGTCACATTGCTAATAGACTTAAAGTGCCTCATTTTTCATATAATTACTTTTGATTTGGAAAAAATGAACTTCATAATTATTTGGAACTTAAAAGTTATAGAATGAGAGTCTACATTGTTTGAAAGCAGACCGCTTAGTAATATCATACCCAACATATTTATACACTAACAGTAAGTTAAAGATAGACTGGAAGAAGATAATTCAAGATTTCAAGAATTATGACAGGAGTGTGATCATTAGGATGACATGGGATCAGCGCTGGCGGCAGGTTTTGCGGGGCTCGGGGCAAATTTTTTTCATGGGCCCAAGACATTTTTTTGTCGTGAGGCAAAATAATTTTTCTAGCTGCTTCTCACTCAGGTACTAGTAAGACATTTTTTCTATTTTACTTACGTAACTTACCTAAAAATATTTTTTTTTATGTAGGTACACAATTAAACAAAGTATTTAAGCACTAAAAGTACACTCTTCAATATGTATTTATTTCTTAAAACATTAAACTATAGATATTTGTTTGCTTATATACTCTGTTGGATACATTTTTCGTATTAAAATGAAATATGTTCCAATTAAATGTTGAGGTACACTAAGTACACTAATTACAAGTTTTGCGCAAAAATTTGAATTAAAATATAAGGTTATAACATCAAAATTGTTTTGGACGTCGGCGTCGTAGGTAGGCATTATAATGTATTTTTACTCTCGCTCGTTTATTATAGATATTCCGATTACTATATTAAAAACCCACAAGTTGCCCGTGCCGACGGGACTCTTATTTTTAATTTGAAAAAGAAAATTATAGGCTTAAAAATCATCAAATGCCATGAAAGGAACGGGGCCCCTAAAATGGTGGGGCCCAGGGCAGCTGCCCCTTCTGCCCTGCTCTTCCGCCGGCGTTGCATAGGATATCCATAATAAAATTAGGTAGCATCAAATTTACATTGGTAACCAATGATTGGTCTCTCAAAGTGAAGAATACCATTGGCAGTATACAGCTCCTAAATGATTGACCTATAGTACTCTTAAATTAGCATTAGACAATGTTGTAACTTAGCTTTTAAATGCTAAATTCTTCAGTTACTCAACAAACCCTAGAACTTTTAAGTCTTAACTCCTTACAGCTTACAGTATGCTACATCAATTATAGGATTAGATTCTAAAGATCTGCTAAACTTAAAACCACGATTTATTACGATCTATTATTTAGGAACCATATGCAATTTTTGTAGATTTTCATCTTTTTTTCTTTTCCAATTTTTTTTTCATTAAAGATATTCACAAGAATCGTTATTCTATTAATATCTCAACCACTAAAAAAAAATTTAAGAAAAATCATTGTAGTATAGGAGTGAGGACATTTTGTATTTTCTAATGGAGGAATGAGCAGAAAAGTTAAATTCTTTCACCACCATAGTTGAAGGTGCTGTTTTTATCATTGAACGTTTAATATTTTATTTTGTTTAGCTTCTATTGAGTTGTTCCCATACAAAGATATTGTAATTCCTTGACTACATCCAGTATACTTAATAATTCACAATCTATAGTATCTGATATTCTGCTGTGAGATTCCTTTATCAACTCTAGAGTTTTCACTTTAAAATAAGTGTTTCAATTTGAAACAACAGGTTTTAATTTTTTATACACACACATTTTCGGGCTTATTTTTTTTTTTTTTTGATAGGGCGTATAGGTATTAAATTCTAAGGGAGTAAGGTCTAACTAGTGTATTTTTCGCAGATAGGTACTTATTTTCCATTTGTTTTAAGATATGTGATTACAGCATTATGATATTAAGAAAACTTTTAAAATGTATTCATAATTCCTAAATCGTGTCATTACTCATTTATATTTGAATTTAAATACAAAATAAATTTTATAAATAGTATTTCGTTTAGAAATTGCCCATCACTCTAAATATAGGGATATTAACTAGTCCTTGTTTAGAATTACTTCAATTCTTACAAAGGAATAATATAATTCCAGTAGATCCGAAAATTATTTTAAATGCATTTTCATGAACTATTATTACTAGTGTATTAAGTTTTTTAAAAATGCTGGATTCTCAGTTTGATTATAATGTAATTAATTATTCAATTGAACCTACCTTTAGCCATTATTTTATTTTTTTATAGTTACTTAATTAGATTCAAAGCGTAGCGATTAATTGTTCAATACATTCTGTGTTTTTTTTTGTCTCGTGTCTGTCATCACCACTCGGGGAAGTAAAAATGTTTCAATTTTTTCAAAATTTTCAAAAGCAGCAAGAAGTATAAACAAAAAATTAATGAAAACGGGAATTTTTCACTCAAAATTGATTTTGGTTTTATTGTGTAACTCTAAAGAAGACACCTTGGATACATGCAATTTTCACTGAATGTTAATACCTATCCGCATTTTCCATACAAGATAAAATGTTCAAAATATTTTGATTCTTGTTAAACTATTATAAAATATGAAATGCTTGATTTTATTAGTTTTTTTTAAACTAATAAAATTCTAGGTCAAAAAACTTGAAAATTTAATACAAGGTACCTCGTAAGTTGTTGTTAGTGAAAATTGAGCGTACATCCACAATATTCAACAATAGCATTTGAATTTTGAATTTTGACAAAATTCGTAAAATCACAAATATTTGCATATTATTTTCAGTTAGAAATTCATAAGAATTTTTCTTTTTATATCTCAGATTTTAAAATACAATACAAGATTCCTTATAAATTTGTCTTATCAAAAAAAAAATTGAATTGTGATTTTCTTATTTTGTCGTTATTTAAAAACGAATAACTGCAGATACTTGAAATTTACACCATTTGTTTATATATCTATTCATATACTTGATACGATTTTCAAGATATTTTGACTCAATTTTTGAGCTTTTTATGGGGAATCGTATGAAAGGAATGTATTCAACTATTTTGTCGACTGTCATAAAAATGTTACGAAGAAAAAGTAATCAAATAAAATTACAATATAAGTATTTATTGTAGTTATTTTTAGGTACCTAATCAATAAAAATTAAGATCCTACGAAGCAATATCGGAGCTTGGGTAAGTTCAATAACTTTTGAAGGACCCATATAAGTACACAATCCCCTCTCCAATTTAAGTCATTACAACCAACTGACTATATTTTATAGTTTAAGGCTCAAGGAGATCCTATGCGGCTGTGTAAGACTGCTCGTGCCCCGCACATGCGTAAATCAGGCCCCGCAATAAGTATACCTACGCCAATATCATCCCCTAACAATCCCAATAATAATAATAATAATAATAATAATAATATAATAGCTAATTACACGCTATCGTGCACTGCTGTCGTGTGTTCAATATCGCTCAAACAGTTTTGTTAGTACGATCGACGGGTAGGTACGTATCGTTTCTACATTCCCAAAATGTTTGATACCTTTATTATCGACAAGCTACGACGACGATAAAAGGCGGCCTAGAAACCGTCTGACTACCCACCACTGACCTTTTCAGTTTTCACCATTATATAATACAGTGATCACTCGCCGGACCGTGAACGAGACCCGACCCGACCTACCCTCTTTGGTCCTTTTCATAGTCTCGGTGAACTCGGCGGCGGGTGGTTTCTAGCCCTCCTCTCACCCACTTCTCCTGCCAATTACCTGTGCATCGCCGAGTACCGGGAAACGATCCCCGCCACGATCCCTCAAGCACAACACTGTCAGCCATTATTCGATTATTCTTGTTCGGAGATCCGTGCTGCGTTCATCACATCGAATGAATACTGAATAGGTAGCGATTGCCGGCGCAGTTGCCAGTTGTAGACTTGCTGTACTGCTGTAAAAGTGTTGGACAGTTCTGACCGCCGTTCACCACGCCATGATTTTAGTAAGTCCCCAGTCACCGACAACTAAATTATTGTAATAAAGTATCACTTAATATATTGCCTTATAGGTACGATTTCCGAGTAGATGCTTTTGGACTTTCGGCTTACGGATCTATATTGATCTGGACAATTACAGGTATGACATTTTTGGTCACCGACGAGATTCTTCGCCCTATCTAACCAACCGGTATCCGTGCTGGCCATTTTATTTGTTTTATGGAGATCGTCGATACGTGTGAAATAGGTATGCTGTTTATCAATTAGTGACTATCTATTTTAGCTAACCTTTTGTCGTCCTCAGGTTCTCCATAAAGACATAAGTACAGACTACTGAGCACACGTCGACTCTTGGCCGATCGACGCATTAACGATTCTATAGTTTCGCATCGTCCTCGCGATATCCCTACAGGAATCAGTTTCTGACACACGAACAGAGAAGCGCAGTCATAGCTAAAACTTCAAAGACATATTACTATATTTTGTTGTGTTCCGGTTGAAGAACTGCTGCACCAATGAGGATTCGTAGATTCATTGAAGCGGAACTCGAAGACGAGGGGAAAATAGGAAATATAGGTAATCGATCTCTGAGAGGAACTCCATGATAAAATGTCATGAGTGTTGTTTTAGTTCATTTTTTTTTAAAAATAAAGTTTTGAATTTAATTTAGCAATTGTCATTAATTTAGCAAATATTACGAGCACAATGTACATAGCATGTGATCAGATGATGATTACCTGTTACGCCGAACTAACTATATGGTACATAATCTAAGTAAAAGAGAATATATATGAAAATGGCAAGAAATTTAAAGGATGCATTGTGGATGGTGGAAGAACTTTGTTTAGCAATATGTCTAAACAGTAAACATGTATACCTATATATATATATATTGTAAGTGAATTAACTAACTACTAACATGAATGATCTTTTGACAAAAACTAAAATTTAGGTTTCTGATGTTCTAGACACATATAGGTCTAAAAAACGCCTAACTATAAATTAAAAAGTAATACATTAGATTAAAATATTAGGAAACCACTTTAAAATTTTAAAATTTTTCTTCACTTTTTATTCTTAAGTACCTATTTAAAATTAAAATAATTTCCCCCAAAATATTATACATTTCATTGTTAATTGAAGATAAGTAATTTTATATTTAACTTTTGTATTTTTATAACGGAAAAATTATAAATAAGGATAAAATGACATCAGTTATTCATGTAATTTCTGAGTTCCAGAGATTTGTCCTGTTTCACTTCCCAACGAAATGCCTCGCATCTTTTTAGCATATAAAGGAACATTTTATCAAGGTTAGATATTAAATATTTACTTTACATATTTATGTTGAGTTTTTTGTGGGATGGACATGGACAAGATTGATAATTGTAAATATTGGAATACTCCAAAAAATAAGAGGAAATTGAATTTTCTTGGAATTTCTCAGTTGTTATACCAAAAACTAAGATAGATGATAGTAAGCTCCTAACATTTGTGTCTGAAATTTGAATTTTTTTATTTTTAACTTCTAATTTTGAATAGCAACCTATAGAAATACAGGTGTAATTTACAGTCTATTATAAAGTAATAAAAAAAACTATGTTATTAGGTATATATTTCTTAATTTAATTGTACATGGCTTTAGCTGTTTACTAAATATAACAATACAATTCGTAATTATAACCAATAACCAACCTAACCATCAACTAATAATTTATGTACAAGATAGATTTTCGAGGAAGAAATTGGAGTGTTTCGATACGTATCGTTCAATTTTGAGCATTCAAGAAGTTTCAAGTGCAATATACAAGTGATACGTATCAAATTTTTCTTCTTGAATATCTTGATACTTGTATACTTTTGATTATGAAGTATTTCAGAAACTTCCTTTTTATATCTCTAGATTTGTTGAATCTAATTAGGTAACTGTAATTCTTTATTTTACAATTTTACAGATAATACTTTAAGAAAAGGGTTACATATCTGTGAAAAATACATAATACAAATTGCCCAAAAATGTTACCTACTAATTACTATACTTTCCTATAGGTACCTACATAATATTTACTTTGATTCATAATTTCCAAAAACATTCAACATAGTGGTCATAATACAGTCAACTTTATAAATTAGTATGTTCATCCAGGTGTATATTAATAACATTTAATAGGTAATAACTAAAAACAAAATTACATTTTATAATTGAAATTGAATAATAATAAATGAATGCGACTGATTTTTTATAGACTATGTACCTGAAAGGTATCAATTTAAATTATTTAAATATTGTTTTAAGTATAATTATTAGAAAATATCATCAACATTTTTATAGGTAGGTACTAATATTTATAATCAATGGTACTAATAATATGTTTACAAGTGCATTAAGTTTGCAATCAAAATGTTGACTTTTCAAACAAGTAAAATTTTAACACTTAACCAAGGAAAATTAAAACCAATTTATAAATTTGGAATCAATTTAAGTCTAAATTTTAACACCATATTTTTTTTAGAGAAGACGTACATAAATTATAAATATCGGTCGTAAAATTGTATTTAAATTATAAATATCAAAAAGGTTAATTATCACCTATACTTCATTTCATGGTATCTAGTAAAGATCAAGATAAATATTTACCTACTTTATGCTTAATATCTTAAAATTTAATTTGCTTACTTTGTATAACTAACAGCTTATTATGTCATATTCTTAGAAAGTCATAACCTATAATATAATTAGTATTTAGTACCTTGATACAAATTTTGGTTTCAATTTTTGCGTCACTATAAACTATTTATGTAGGTACCTTCAAATTAAAAATAAATTAGTACAAAATATATATAAATAGTATGTCTTTTTACACAACATAAAATAAATTAAGAATACTTCACTGTTAACTAAGTTAGTAATTTATTTTATGTAACAATATGGGACTTGCCTTATTTAATACAACAAATATTGTTTGTACAAGATATTTTAAAGTAGAGTTGATTGTTACTAACTCATTAATTTGTTTTTAGGAAGATTTTAAGTGGGAATATGAAGAATAAATCAGCATAAATAACATTTTTGAGTTATGAATCAGCAGTACCCGAGGAGACCAAAAAAAATATTTATCTATGAAACATGGTAGTTAAAACCAGAAAACAACATTTTTATTCTCTTAGATTTTCTTAGGTAGCACGTATTGTACAAAAATATTGAAAACAAAGTTTATTAAAATTATTAATTTTTGTTTTGGTAAATTACGTAAAAAATATAATTCATATTAAATTAACAGTCAATTGTAATTTGCACATTGTCATTATATATAATTGTTCAATTATATATATTTAATACCATAACTTATGATCTGTTCTCATTTTACTCATCATTACTTGAATCCTCATCATCAGAAATATTTTTTGTAACTGATAAAAATGTTTTAATAATTTTACATTTAGTGTGATTGCAATCACATGGGTTTGGGTGTGTTTCTTGTTGAGAGTCCAGCATTTCTAGATTAATACTGTAATGTCTTGAATTTGTACTGTTGCGTTGGAATTCGACATTAAACATTACAGCATCACCTTCTTCTACTTCTATTTGTGTTGGCAGTACTATGATTGTCTGTTTCCAATGTGTTATTGGCGATGGGGGTGAAGTGCTCAGAGTAATATTAGTAGTTGGGAACTGTACATCAAACCAAAAACAAACTCCTTGATAAATTCCACTTTTCTCAACAACAGTTGTATATCGTTGTGCAGTGATTTTGTCAAGCTGTTGTGGTTGGCAATTCTTAAGATTAAACTCTACAATGGGATTGACATTATGAGCGAGCATATTCTCAACTTGTATGCTCATGATTTTTGGTCTGTTCAAGTATAATCTGCGCAAGGCTTGTGCAAATGATCTCATTTTTACACCACAGACATTGTCCCACTCCGAATATAGATCTGGTAATGCGCATGGAGATGCATAGAGCGTACAATGAGACGGAAACATCAGGCCGTCTGGTTTCAAAAACTTGTCCCGCGCCACGATAACGCTGTCCAGCATGCTTTCATGCAACATGTAAAAGCCCATCCACTCGGAAACAATAATGTCCACCTTAAAGGGCAGAGTTACATCCTCCACTTTGCTGTAAACCACCTGTAAATAAAAAAGAGTGATTAGAATAAGATAGGAAATAATTCGCGCGCCAAGGTGGAATGATATCAATGCACCTTGATGCGCGCCTCAGTAGTCATTTATAAATAATTATTATCGTCATTTAATGTATGTACACACTTCGATAGTATCTGAAAAATGGTTCTCGGCTACTAGCTCTCTGGCCATTTCGGCCGTCTTGCTGGCTTCGACTGCGAACACCTTAGAGGCTCCAGCTTGTGCGCAGAATATGGATAGTATCCCGGTGCCTGCTCCCACATCCAACACGATTTTACCCTCGAACAACGAGCGGTTGGATAGGATAGCATTTTTGTACGCCTCGGTCCTAGCCGAGTCCTTTATCATTAACTTGTGAACCTGAAATGTACACAATATTCATTGAGAAAGTGAGAACACTCTAAAATCTGCCTCGGATAGGGACGTCAGTAGAGGTATGAATTTACCTCCAGGTCACCATAGCTGGAAAAATAGGCATCCGTGTCCATATCAGTTGATTCAGCCATAAATCATAATAAAATATTAGAATCGTTTGAAATTCTGCGCGCGTGATATTTATAACCTGCAAAATTCAGTAAACAGGTTAAGGTAAAAGGTAACCTTATCTCAGCTGTGTGGTAGCGGGGCAGCTATCAGCCACCTTTCTAATCACTAATTATCAGATGTACAACGGAGTACGAAACTACGAACTTCGACTGCGGAAAATTCTATATTGAGAATTCTATATTATTTTTTTTATTTTTCGCGATCTGCTTGTGTCAGACATATAAAATTAAAAGTCGACTAATAATATGGCTTTCAATTTACTGAAACAATCTGCAAATAAAGTGATCAGAAATGCGGGTTTGCCGTCGTCAACGTCGTAAGTAGAACCTACCGCAATACATACCCAATTTTAATAAATATTTGAGTATTTGACATTTTGGGCAACCTAGTACCTATTTAGTTTTACATGACATTTTGCAAATTGCACAGGGCTACAAGAGGACTGTTTACTGGTGCTGTCCGATTAGCTAAAGAAGACAAGGGATTAGAACAAGTTTACACCAAAAAAGAGTCACTTTTGTTGGACACTAATAATGTCATTGGAAAGACACCCAACACAAGTGTTCAGAATTATATCGAGGTCGACAGCAAAGTATGTGACTCAAAATTATACTAAAACTAGTAGAATTTAAATAAAATATGTATAGTTTATTATCTAATTCATTGTCATCCAGTGATTGAGATAATAATAGTTTCTGTTGCATATTAGATTTTAACAAGTATAATATTGTCTTAAGCTGGTATTACAATAGTTTGTCATTAAAGATTAAAAAATATTTTTCTTTTATTTTTATGGAATTTTTGTGGATCTACAAAAACCAGTGTAATACTGGCTATGGCAACTAAATACATAAATCCATTTACATATGACGAGCATAGGCACAATTTGAGGGGTTCAAAGTTTGTATTTTAATTGAAGTATTAAATCTTTCATCAGTTATCTATTCTACATAATTCAGTAGTCATTATTATAAGAAATTATTTTCTAAAGTTTAACTTTTTCACTGCTATACCAATTATGTTCTGCAACTTGTATATGCTACATAAAATAAAATTTTTTTTTATTTTTAAATTTAAATTTTGAGATCCATATGATTTAGTTGTTTAAGTTTAGGATAATGTGGCCGAAGTTTCTTAAAATTATAAGGTTGCCTCCAAATGATAATATTATACGATTCAGGAACGTAGTAATACGTCTGAAGCAATGTAAGGGTTATTCATTAATTGAATGTTTTCCATGGTAGATATTGAATTCACCCACAAAACTTAAAAAATTAGTTGAACAATACATTACTGATAATATTTTAATTTGTTTAGAATATAATCAATACTCGACAGAAGTATATTTTTTTTTTATAAATTTGCAATTTTGAATCGACGGTACAATTATAAAATATACAATATATAAAAATGTATCTGCCTAAATGATGTAATTTGTTATAGTAAAAATATTTTTTATTTTAGTAATAGGTAAATGTATTATAATATATTAAATGTAAGAAAGTGGATGAAAAAAAATATCACAAATATATTATGTTATATTATTTTGCATTAAATAATATACTTTCGCGGAAGCAATGCGAAAACAGTTCCCGCGGCGTCGTCGGTTCAAAATGGTAAAAAATAAAATAATATACTTTAAAGGCATTTGGTCAGAGGCCCCTATAGATCTGTTTCATTTAAATTATGTAAAGCAGCCTCACGCCAAAAACTGTAATTGCACTTATGATGATGAGTTCGATTTAACTGATACTAATTTATAATGCCCATTTATTCATTATTCTACCCATTTTAAACCTTGATTTAATAATTTTTTATGGAGTCACTAAATACTTTTAATTTAAAAGAAAATATGCTGATTATTAGATTGCATTATTGGTTAAAATACACAAGAATGAATATTCCATAATGATAATATAATTGAAGCAAAATATATACACATATATTTATAGTTCAAATGTGGGTTCTTTGGTAGCATGTAAATATTATACACTAATAAGTACAATTATTTTGAATAATTGTTTAATGAACGCCTAAATACATACATAAAAACAAAAAAGTAGAAAAAGATTATTTTTATCTAATGATAGTTGAATAATCAGTAACACATATTTTGATGTAAAATAGTTTATCATATTTTATAGATCTTTAATTTAAATTTAACGTTAGATTTATGTACCTATCATAAATGTATTTAAATTCAATGTTAAAAACTATTATATAAGAAAGAATATAATTTGAAGTTGTATATTAAGTACTTACTCATGAGTCAAGACACCTGTGCTGCTTTACTTCCTACTGAATTGACAACACTACATAATAATAATGACTAGTGCATAATAATTTTTGGAAAGACCAAGAACAGGTTTGATAATCTCTATTATCTAAATAAGATTTTTTGATGGCAACAAACACATATATGTTTGCCTAAATCATAGGGGCGCCCACAGTCATGTGTGTGTGTGATCCTTTTAAATTAATTTATATAATACTAACTTATGTCTTCTACTATTACTATAACTTTACTTTTATGCATTTTACCAATGTAATATAATATATTGTGATTAAGATTAAATTTAAAATTCGTCATAAATCAGTTGATACTTGACATGAAATATTAATCATTTAAAAATTACAGGTTTGTGGGAATTCAATATATTTTTGTTTATTATATTATATAACATTATTTCTATATTAATAATGAAAATGTATAACTAATCACAACTACATTTGCATTGAATTATTAACATTATTATAATTACTCATTTTATATTTAATTATATTATTAAAGCTTGTTAACCTATAAGTGTTGGATACCTTACAAATGCACATGGCAACACATGGCAAATGTTTATAAAATATACATTTATCTATACATTTTTAGGTATTGTTTAAATGATATTAGTTGTTTTACAACAAAATTAAAAATGTTATTAAATTATACTAGTTTTATTTTGTTAATTAAATATTTTTGTCCCTTGTTAATAATTATTAACAGTGAATTTTGGTATCAGCTTAACTAAAATTTTTTTTTTAAAGAAAATTTGATACTATATTAGTTGTATCTGAATAGCATATTATGTATGAGGTACAGTCAAAATTAGCAAAAGTGTGATTTAAATTGTATGTTCATTAAAAAAAAAATGATTTTCAATTATATTTTAATTAAAGTTATCACTTTAGAATGACATAATAATAATTTACTGTTTACATTTATTTTGAATCAAAAAGTCAAAACTTATTAATTCAACTATCGATCAAAAAATTTATCAAATAGAATATGACTAATGAGTTATAAATGTTATAATTATTAATTGTATATTGTATTTTCTATAACTTTATACTACTATAATTCCACAAAAATAATCATCATAAATAAATAATTTAATTAGAAAAATTCATATTATGTTAATTCTTAGTACATACATTTTTAATAACTTATACAGTTAAAAATTTAAAAATTTAATATGTAATTAACTAAAAACACTGAATAAGATATAACTATATCCAGTGGCGCCAAACTAAATTTTTTTAAGTGTGGCAAATTGCGATGGACAATAACTTATACCTGCCTACCCCCACAGGATATTAGAACCAAGTCATGACGGCAACCCCCCATCCCTCACATCATTCCTTAAACTAAAAAATATTTAATGCATTATGTTAACATTTTAGCATTATTTAATATTTGATTAGGGTGGAAATAATTTATGACAATTAATATAGCATACGGACAAACTACAATCTATGTCACCAAGGCACAAACAATTAGGTTCATCTTCAGAACAAGCCTCTACAAAATTAAAATTATCATCTTAAAACAATATTCACAGACATTGATTTAGTTTTTTAGCTACATCATGTTATCCATTACTAATTGGAACTGTTACATTTTTTAAAAATTCCTATATTTATGTAAATGTGTGTATATTGTTTGGTTAGTGGAAATAGCACTATTTAGTTATAGCACTACTGTTTTAGTTCTATATGTATTAAAAATATTAATATTTGCCTTAGTTACAATGTAAATATCATTTTCACACGATAGGTACTTACATCATATTTTATATGATAGTATAATATAGGTAGGTAGATGATATTATATTTATATTGCTGCTATTTTAGTAAAATATTTTCCTAATAGTAAAACAATAAAGATTGATTTCATATGCCTATAAATAGTTTTAACAATAGTCAAAATATTTTGAATATTTTATGGTGTATAGAAAATATGGATATAAACATTCAGTGACAATTTAATGTATCTACAGTTATTTTTTTCTAAGTTACAACAAAAACAAATTCTTCCATTTTTAATCAATTATTTGTTTGTTTTTCCTGCCGCTTTTGAAAACTATTGGGAATTTTTTTACTTTTGAGTCTTAACCCAACAAAGTACCAACTTGATACAAATATTTTAATTTCCATACCAGGGGTATAGGCGATGTAGCTTAACTAATATATAGTTGTAAACAACTCTATATATTGTAAATATTATACTATTATGAATATGTTTCACTCTGAAAACCGTGGACTAGCTCTTGTTGTAGTGTTGTATATAGATATAAATATAAGTCATAAGTGCATATAATATTTTGTACAATCTAATTGTATTTTACAAGGTATCTTTTATTAAGAACTATTGGAGATTTATTGTAAAACTATTAATGCATTAGGAAGTCATCTTTTTTATATTTGTACAATATATTTGTGTACTTAGGATTACAATCACCCAACAATATTAGGAGGTATATCCACCTCTTAAAATAAGTTAGGCGGCCCCCACACCTACTACATGGATTCAGTGCCACTGATTATATCTTAGTTCATGACTAAAACTTAAATAAAATAATAATATTAGAATTGTGTACCTATAATAATTTCAGTAAATAATATTATCATAGTAATTTTAATTAAATAGTCATAAAAATGTGTTATACTACAGATTAAAATTAAAATGAAATAATTATATCCGTAACATATGATTATCCTTGTTATTATCAACACTTAATACATTAATATATCTTGATAAATTTTATTACTCGGCTATATCCCACTTGCAAGTTAGCTATATAATTTTCTAACTTTCCAATTTTAGTTTTTTCGAGATACATGTCCAAATCCATTAAAAATATTAACCTTACCTTTTTGTTGTTCACATACATCCACTGCGTCAAGTTGGTAATTTTTTAATTTTCTAATTATTTAGGTAGATTTGAGTTCTGTTACTGGTATACCCGAAGAACATGTAAAGACTCGTCTTGTGAAAATCAGCAAAGCCACCAAAAATGTTATGCAATCCGGTACTGACAATACTCACAATTGGGTGATGGAATTTGACAACAGAGAGCGTTGGGAAAATCCATTAATGGGTTGGACATCATCGTATGTACACATTTTTATTATAATATTATAGGTATTAGGTATACAGATATAATGAGATTGTTTCTGTTTTTAGTGGTGATCCGTTGTCAAACATGAAGATTGAGTTTGTTGACAGAGCTGATGCCATCAATTTTTGCGAGAAAAATGGATGGAAATGGTACTTAGAAGCAGAGAACAAGACCAGACCCATAAGATCTAAGTCTTATGCAAATAACTTCTCATGGAACAAACGTACAAGAACTTCTACCAAGTAAACATACCCAATATTTGTGTAATAATAGTTAAAGTAATGCCTGTAAAAAAAATATATATTTAATTTTCAATGTAAAATTCTTACTTTAGTGGAAATTAGACACACCATTTCTTATAGGGTAATAAAATATAATACTCATTTGTTGAAATTTGTGTCAATTTTTTTTTGTTTTTTATTTTATTTTAACAAAAAAATCAATATTATACAAAATGTCAAAACGTAATATATCAAACTTAACTGTCTAACAGTTGTAAATATTGAAAATACAAGAACAAATATATGACAAAAGGATGTTTATAATAATAATAATAATAACCACAATAATAGTTGTTGTTCCAAAAGTACAACATCAAAGATCTCATAAGTACTATTATCGTGAAACACGTGAACATAATATTTTTTTATATGTATTAATTAGTAATTGTATTTGTACATACTTCAAACTATATAAATATAATAATATCTTGAACGACTATCACAAACCATAAGCAAGAGTGCATTTATAATAAGTTTGTTAATTTAAAAAACTAAACTAGGAATAAAAAAAAAGGTTTCTTAAAAAAAACCTTCCTAGGTATATAATAATATTGCTATGCATACTCTGGTACTCACAATAGAGATGAGTCAATAGTTTTTTCAAAAATTAGGTAGTAGGTACAAACACTGTTTCTACAATTACAGTTTGTGTGTGTATAGTATCATGAATAAAATTAATTCATACTTGTTAAGTATTTAAATACTTTTTTTTGTATTTTAAATACATTTCAACTACTTTTAGAATAAAGTATTTTAAATCCATATTCTTATATTTTGTTTTTATTAATATTAAGTTCAAACAAATAATATGTTTAGTATTAAGACCACGAGAATTCAATGCATTTCGCATTAAGCAATCCTGTATAGGTATAGGTACCTACAAATTCTAGAAGAGGAATGACTAACGATAATGATAATTTTATAATTCAAGTATTTAAATACCTATGTAAAATAATTTTAACAAGTATGTTAGTTATTATATTTATTATTATTATTATTATTATTATGACGATAAAAGTATCGCATTGAAATTAATGAAAAAATAGAACCTATGTAACTAAAATCGAGGCACAGTGGTAAGGTCTAGGCACTATATGTGTGTAAATGTGTAACATTATGTACAATACTTAGGTAGTATAATATTAGTAACAGTATATCATTATAATCTACATGGTTAGGTTATTAAAAATAATTCTAACAAGTTACACACTACGAAGCTCTTCTATTTAGCTGAAAGTAGTAGGTACTCGACCGAAAAATAAAATATGTGATATCATATTATCCGCCGACCCTTTTTGAAAAAAAAAATACATATAATTCATAAACAGCAAACGTATAAATAATAATAATAATAATAATAATAATAATAACAACGCGTAGGTACGAACTTTCGTTCGGTTTGGTGACAAGGGGTGGTTACATGGATATGGCGATATTATTATATTTTTGGTATATAATATATTTTATTTTGCATAATATTTTTTTATAAAACGTTGACATTTACAAAAATGATAAATCTGGTAGTAGGAGGGTACATTATTATTTTTGTTTAATTATTATTGCATATTATTGAAATTATTTTTATGTGTATTATGCTATAATATAATACATTTTGTCAGTTGAATAAGTAAAGTTACGTACTTATATCTCTATACGGTAATGTTTCGCTGTCATTGAGTTTTTCTTATATTAACAAAAGAAAGTATTGTGGCTCGACGCTGTCGAGGTGCTCTGAACGTACGTACCAGCCCCTTCGTTGCTAGCACTCGGATGGGTGACCACCCGGGTTTTAGCAACACATCCTTGCCACACATACAAAATACGTGTTCGACAGTTTCCCCTTACGAACAGCTAATGGCCATAGTTCTTAGGTCTTAGTTCCGGGCTTTAGATCAATACAAAATTTTTAAAAAATGATGACGGAATCGAGTGGGTGTCTATTTTTTTTAAAGGTTAGAAATATATATTTTTTCAAAACGAATGCCAACCACCAAGTCCGACAATGGTACGTTTTCACAATGTTATTACACTATAATAATATGTACAATTGTTAATATTATTATAATTATTATTATTATATTATAAATTACGATGATGGATTACAATATTAAAATATTTTAGTGTGTTACATTGTGCTATTTGATGGGCCCGCCGGTTCTATGTCATCATGTATCAAAGTCTTTTAGATTTATGTTTACAAAAAAATTATACAATAATTATTACAAAATTACACCTATATATACTATACAGGTAAGTATATAATATATAATACAATATGTGTATGCTAATCGATATGTTAATTTAGAATATCTCATTGCAGGAGATTAAAAAAAAGTCTATACGAAATGGAATTTGAATACAAAAAGAAAGAAATAAGTCGACCAAAGTTTCAGCGAACTTTTAAAACAAAATTCTCCCGAATACTCGAGTGCGCACACATTATAATAGGTTATATCTTATAATATGTATCTATATTTTTATTACACAAATCACATTACGAATTATTACGATCAATACTAATAATATAATAATTAATAGGCATTATGCGTGTTCGTTATTGTATCGATGTATCGTCTTCGATTTAGCTAATTTTCGATTCAATTCGTACACGGATTAATAATTTTTTTATTTTTTCGTTTTTATTATTTTTTTTCTCGACGCGTTCGTCGAATCTTCTTACTCTCTAAATCATTAATTCCCGTAGGCCATTATTAAAAATTAAAAAAAAAAACCTTAAAATTACAACTCGGGCAAAAGAACATCAAATTATTAATTAATATAATATTTTATGATTAGATGTCATCTTATGTAAATTTCGGTTATAACAGATTATATTATACGCTTCAATAATACATTATGTGACATCATATTTTTATTATTATTATTATTATTATTATGCACTTTCGTGTTCGGCTAATATACTATTTACACACATAAAATACGCTAAGTTATTGTCTGTTCGTAAAACATCGGTAAAAACTCTGTAACTGCTGCACCGACACGACCACACCCCGCCACCACCACCGCACCCAATATCTGATGCGCTCGACGGGATTTTTTTTCGGACGATTTCTGTTTTGTTCCTACGTTTTGGGGAATAATTTTGAAGCGACCGCCCGAGAAATTCGGAGTATCCACCGATTATATAATAATAATATATGTATATAGATGTTAGTATTATTATCAATTTATCTTATTATTTTATTGAGTGGCCGAGCCCACATCGTGGTACCTATCTACAACAACGATAATATTACGACAAATTTCAGCAGCCAAGGCACCTACGATAGCGAAAAGGCAAAGGTTACATAATATTATTTCAACAACAAAATATAGCCGCTTACGTCCCACAAGCATGGTATCTACGCCCGTATGATAATATAAAAACCATTACCGAAATAAATGATGTTAACGGTGATTTATGTGTTCGTTTATTAATTTTTCTAGACAGGTACACGTGTACAACATGATGTTTTGTAATTATTACCTTCAACATTGTACAACAACCATACGCTGTCCGAATCCTCCGATTAGATAGGTACTTTGCGCCGTTATCGCATTCGAAAATACCTGTACCATATAAATTATTTTTAGGAAGGTAAATATTATTATAAATTTTGTCGATCCGTCACAAACGCGCACACACATTTTGTTTTACGAAGATTTGCGAGCTACCATCTCTGCCCCCTACCCAAATGAGAGGTTTTGCGTGGATAAGCCTCCTAATCGGAAACAGTTGCTGTGCATAAAATACATAGTGTACCTAGTGTGTAGAATAAAGAAAATAATAAATTATAACAAATACGATGAATGGGTACTGATTGTTGTACAGTATCTCAAGTAGTACGTGTAGTACTACAGAATAAAATAGAATTTATTCTGTGACGGTACGGCCTAACTCTGTTGTCTGTGATTAAAATTTAAAACTATGAAATGTGCTGCCACTGATAATTTTATACTATAAAGCAGCATTTCTCAATCCATGGTGCGCGTACCAATAGTGGTATACGCGGAAAGCTTGAAGGTGGTAGGTACGCAAAAAAAATGGAATGAGTCATATTAAATATTATTTGGTTTGTTTGGTATAAATAATAATTGTACGTATTTAATTTTATTTTTATGCACTAAATGTATGTGTCATTATAATTTTGTAGTTTCTAATAAAATGAAATTCCATGCATGCAAAATGTCGTAAAGTTTTTTGATTAGAAGAAAAAACGTTATTTAGTCAACTGGGGTATATGAACGTTTTCAAACTGGGTAGGTGCCAGGTGGTTATAAAAAGGTTGAGAACCACTGCTTTAAAGTGTACTCTGTACGTAGTGAAAATGTCAAATTGTCTTATTTTTATCAGCTTATTGCAATATTATTACATCATTTTTGATTATGAAGGCTTCCTTATTATTTTCCCTATCCGAGGTCGTTTTTCTCCTTGCCACCCTCTAACACGGCCCTGAACACACATTATTATTCTTATTACTCTCAAAGCGCCTTCACAACAATACCCATACTCTAATTGAGAACTTATGACGTCGTGGACACGATTAGATAGTGTGGAGTACCCATTCACCGCAGAGAAAAATATTATAAACATAATAAATTATTATAAATGAGAGCAAGTGATTAATTATTACGATATTGCCTGCGCACTTTTGACGAGGTCGGTACGTCTGTTTGGGGACTAGGGTCGCTCAACCGACAACGATAATGCGCTACTTTTTTATTTTGCCGACGGTATACTGCTATAATATTTTTATAATATTGGTATGGTATATTTTATAATTTTAAATTATTTACCAGGCACCCAGTTTCTTTTATTTACGGACATGGATTTCCGCGGTCAAAGAGATCGATCGATATTGGAAACCGTTGTTCCGACGATGATCGCGGTTTACACACGACAATAACAATTTTAATTTTGATAATAGCCAAGTATAAGTATGACTAACCGTCACAACTACTTTTAAGTGATTTACAAATACAATGTTATTAAGAGGTCGTTTCGATCATAACACGGATTTTATCTTTACCAAGGACACAATAATATATCGTTTGGGTTAATTTTCATATCGTACTATTTTACGCGGATCCGCTAGTAGTCATTTCTGAGAA